AAACGATATTATATTACTATAACTCACAACAAAGTTTGCAATAGGCTAACCAACTAGTCAGTTACAGTCTCAATAATTTTCATAATTCATTGATTTAGGAGAATACTTTTGCAAGTATATGAATCCTTTGTGGTAGGATATGAAATTTAAAATGTCATGTGATAATAGTACGACACATTTATTGGTCCCACCAAGTCAATCACAAATGGAATTATAGCGTATGAACATAGGAGAATGAAATTGTCATTATTGGATCTTGTGTGTGTGTGTGTTAGTCAAAACCAACCATGTGGCTGAGAGGGGAAATCAGATAAAATATCTTCAAATTAGTCAAATATATGATTATGAAAGTGTCATCATTTGGTAATTTGAGAAGCAAACTCATACGGTGGCAGCCACGTTTACGGTACTCGAACGCAGCACAATATGATAAAAAAAAATTATTATAGAGATGAATGATATAATAGATTACATATAAATAGATGAAATAAAACTTTCATTAAGTAGATAAGATGAAAATACCATTGTGAAGCACGAAAATGAAATGATAGCACTATTTGCTACTCCTACCGAGGACGATTTTAAAAATAATTTTATAACAAACCATGATTTTTGGTATAATCACAAATTTACAAATAGCCCCCAAATCTAGTATATTTGCTAAAGTGCCCATTTGAAAATGCAATTTTGTATGTAGAGAAATCTTTCGTTTTTGTTGGGTTGAGGTGGGACTGGGACGTTAAGAGCATGTTTGTTTATGGAATTTTTTAAAAAAAAATTAACATTTTAACTCAATCACTTTTTTTAACTCAACTTTAACTCAACCTCACAATCATCAAAATTATAATATAATTAAATAATATCAATCAATCATTCATATACACTACATCAACCTTAATTGACTATTCATCCACTCACATTATTTTAACAAACCATCACTTCAAATCTCTCTCTCCTACTTTTACATCAAATCAATTTTAATTATTTTATTTTAAATATTATTTTAATATACTCACTAACAACTAACCATACCATATTTTTCAAAATTAACCAAACCAAATCAAAAAATCCAAACAAAACCAGCTCTAAAGTATCCGTTGGACTTTAAGGCCTATACAAAAGTTCGACTCTTATTGGGCCAACTAGCCCAATATATTAGAGCCATTATAGGCCTTTAAATACAGCCCAAAAGGTAAGTTCACTCCACTTTTCTAAGCCCAGACGGCCCAACCTATCAAAATCCCTCGAACCTTTTTCCCCGGATTTCACATTTGGCGGGAAACGTTCACCTCTTAGTAGGCTCTTACAATCCCAAGCTTCAGCCATTTCTGCTGCGTGTTCTTAGAGAGAGAGAGAGAGAGAGAGATGGAAGAGGTAGTGGAGGAGGAATTTTCTGTGTGGAAGAAGAACACGCCATTGCTGTACGACCTCGCAATCTGCCACTCCCTAGAGTGGCCGTCCCTCACCGTCCACTGGCTGCCGTCGCAGCCCTCATCCGACGGCGGGGATCTCGCCGTCCACAAATTGATCCTGGGTACACACACGTCCGATGATTTCCCCAACTTTCTCATGCTCGCGGACGCCTATCTCCCGCGAGATCCCTCCTCCGCCATCGTAGTTGACCCTGATAACTCCATCGTCCCCAAGGTCTAGTTAAATACTTATGCGTATATTGGATCTTGTGTGGTTGCGGTTTGCGTGTCATGTGTTGCCGTGTTTGAGCACCAACTGTTTGATAAAAGCTCTGAATGAATGCCCGTGCTTGGGTTTTTCTTTTTCATCTTTATGCTGGTTTCATGTTTTGATTCTGTGTATAAGCAGATTACCAGGAAATTTGATGCGTGAGCTGAGTAGAAATTATTCGGACATGTTTTTTCATGGTAAAGAAAAATCAGCACAAAAGATTAAGTGTATTTGCATATGGCATGCTTAACATGAAATCAACTCGTAATTCGGTTTGCCATTGCTCATTAGTTGTTATAGTATTGTCCTAAGCTACATGAACTACATTTAGAAAGGCATCCCAATCACAATAACAATGTTCAGAGAGCTAAGAACCCCAAATTTTGAGCAAATCACTTGTTAGTTTTATCCATGACTTTAATGACGAATATCATAATGATTTCTACAGTCATATGTTTATGTGTCTTTAATTTTCTTCTCCTAGTTGTCTTGAAATATCATTTTGCGGACCTGTCTTGTTTTCTGCAAGGGAACTGTATAGATTACCTGTAACTTTTAGATTACCCGGTCTATCGGCCTTGTTTTCCTCTGTTTATTACACGGAGTAGATCTATATGTAAAATTCATCAATTTTTCTAAGCTGCTAAGTGTGATATTTGTTGCTTATGTGCAGATAGAGATAGTCCAAAAAATACAAGTTGATGGAGAAGTGAATAGAGCCCGCTGTATGTCACAAAACCAAGCTATAATTGCTGCAAAGACCAATGGCTCTGAAGTATACGTATTTGACTCTACCAAGCAGCTAGTGGATCCCAAACGTGGTTCTTGTGATCCGGACTTGAGATTGACGGGCCATGATAAAGAAGGGTATGGTCTGTCCTGGAGCACATTTAAAGAGGGATATCTTTTGAGTGGTTCAAACGATTGCAAAATTTGTTTGTGGGATCTCTCTGCAATGCCTCAAGAGAAAGTGCTTGATGCAAAATTTACTTACGAGGTAGCACATAATCTGTATACCTTTCCATATTCAAAGTGCTATTTCTGTTAAAAGGCATAACTAGTTGACATACGAACGTGTGATTTGTTGACTAGGGCCATGAAAACGTAGTTGAGGATGTGGCGTGGCATTTGAAGAACGAGAACTTGTTTGGATCTGTAGGAGATGATTGCAAGCTAATGATTTGGGATATGCGCACAAACAAGTTCCAGCACTCTGTTGCTGTACATGAGAAAGAGGTTTAATGACATATATGCTGTGTTTTTATTTCTCAGATATTATGTATTTGTGCCCGTGTTGTCATTTGGTTGCAGTTCATAACACGTTTCAGTTAAATGTCAGGTGAACTATTTGGCTTTTAATCCGTTTAGCGAGTATGTTTTGGCTACTGCATCCTCTGATTCTACAGTTGGTCTGTTTGACATGCGGAACTTGAGTTCTCCACTGCACGCCCTTAGCAGTCATATGTAAGTCACTTTCATTTCTGTTCAATCTAAAGCTGCCACACCCTAAAGATAATGATAGTGCATGTATCTGGATAATAGCTTATAACCACCTTAATTTTTTCTTTTAATTATAAATATTTGAAGAATCCTTACTGCATGCTGGGATATGATATACCCAAAAAAAAAAAAACAATCCTAATTCAAATCTAACTCAACTTTAACTCAACCCACTATCCTCAATATTATCAATATAATTAAATAATACCAATTTATCATCCCTAGACATTAAATCAACCTCAACCTACTATTTTTCCAACTCACATAATTTTAATTATCCATCACTTTTAACCACTTCTCTCCTACTTTTACATCAAATCAACTTAAATTATTTTATTTTAAATATTATTTAATACAAACTCAATAAATCTATATCTAAGCAAGCCCTGTCCTAAATAATAGCAGTCTCCTTTTAACCCATGTTGATGATTGATACTCAAATATAGTAGTCTTCTGATGTACATAATCTATTTCAAACATTTAAAGATAAAAGAAGAGTACAAGGGAGTAAAAAATTCCTCAAAAGAAGTTAATATGAGCAATGATCTTGTACAGTATTGTTACTATTGTATATCACCGACTGTTTTCATTGCAAAGAACTTTTGGCTAGGTGCTTGTATATCTTCAAATCAGTTATCTTAATACTACTAAGCTTATCAATAATGAACAATATTGATTTTCCTTTGCATACACAGGGAAGAGGTATTCCAGGTGGAGTGGGATCCAAACCATGAAACTGTTCTGGCTTCTTCTGCTGATGACAGAAGGTTGATGGTTTGGGACCTGAACAGGTAAATATTTACTTCTTACTTTTTACTTTTTTTTTGCACTCAAAACTATTATCTATTCTGCAATGAAAAAATAAGGATACAATATTTCTCGATCATGCCTTTATTTTATTTTTCCTTCTCATTTTAAAAAGGGTTGGAGACGAGCAGTTAGAAGGAGAAGCCGAGGATGGTCCACCCGAGCTGCTATTTTCTCATGGTGGCCACAAAGCTAAGATTTCTGATTTTTCTTGGAACAAAAATGAGCCGTGGGTCATCTCGAGTGTGGCTGAGGACAACACGTTGCAGGTTTGGCAGATGGCAGAGAGCATCTATCGTGATGAGGATGACAACTAACAACTTAAACGCTGATTGTCGATAGTTTTTTTTTCTTTTTTAATATAAAAAATGAAGGATTTTAACGTATTTTTGCTCTGTTGATGTGGTTTAAAATTGTTGGATGACTTGAAATCATGCAAATTTTTCATCACCGTGGCCATTTTATCTTTCAGGCCATTTTATTTTGGTTGATATTTTTTCAGTTTTTATTTATTTATTATTATTATTATGTGTTTGTTTCACTTGCGAGGAGTATGCTTTGCCTGCCAATTATACATGCTGACAGACAACAATTGGAGCCCATGTGATTGATGAGGCTCAACTCAGATGATTTTTTCCTTTGTGTAGTGGTGAATAATACGTGAAAGCACTTATAGATTTTCCATTTTTTTTTTTTTTTTCTTCTTATATCAAATCCACTTATTTTGCTCGTACTATTAGTAAAAATAAGAAAAGAAACACTTTCGGGGGCGGAGAGAAAAAGCTGTTAAGATTCTAAAATTGGCGCACGAATAGGCACAAGGTGTAAGCAAGTCGAGCCAAGCTTCTAATGTTCAAGCTCGAACTCGAGTCAAGTCAAAGAACGTTAACTAAAATAACTCAGTAAAAGAGTTTATCTTTAATGAGCTGAACTTATGAACCACTCATTTCTTTTCAAGCCAATAGACATCAAAAGTCCATACAATACTGTCAATACGTGTATGAATGAATGGTGAGCGGCCATTTTAGAGAATTATTCTGTGTCCGTTACTGGTATCTTTATGCAGCCCATTAAATCAACTTTTGCCAGGAAAATGTGATATATAGACTAGAGTAGAAAGATGTCGGCTTGCGATTGGACATGTACATCTTTAGAGAAAATGAAATAAATTTAAATGTGACTAGACTATATCGCTTGAAAATGATGTAGATTCAATTTAATACAAAAAAATTAGTACAATAATTATTCAGCATGATCATTGATCGAATATGTTTGACCATTTTTTGCATGCAGTCATTTTCGTAACAGCTAAAACTCAACCGATCAAGATTCACAAATTGCACGTTTTAAGTTCACAATTCAGCATAGACATGGCCAAAGGGTCGCCCGGCCCGCAGACCCGGCCCTGACCCAGCACGGACCCGGCACGGTCAAACCCGTTGACCACGGGTCCGGGACCGGCCCGGATTTCAGAAACAAGACAATGCAGTTCATAAGATTACCTGAAAACTAATTATGTGAAGTAAAACACTATCAGTCCACAGGATTTTCAACCTGAAAACCTTAAGAGCCTCGAATTTTATATAATAACTACAAGAACCCCCTCGCACATAATTTCTTTTAAAATAACATTCAAATCATCTCATCATTATTAATAATCAATAAGATACAGAAGAAAAAGATAGCCACCAATAAAATTACAGTCAAAGCCACGGCAAATGAAATAACAATGTTTTGGATCCCATGCAATAAGCGAAACCTAATATAAAGCTTTCGCAAAACCAAAATCTCGAGTACACTCCATCAAGTCTTGCTAGCTAATGCTTCTTCTTGGCATCCAACTTCACATTGCATGTTATCAATGAAAAAAACTACTATACACGAAAACCTCACGACTAAGAGGTCATAAGTGTAGCCCATCGTAGCTTATTTAGTAACATATGCTAACGGCTATTCATGAAGATGGACAAAACAACTAGACATACTCTTCAAGACTTCAACTAGTGGGTCCCGCACGGACACCTGTTGAAGAAACATATAAGAGAAATCAACTTCACGAAAAAGAAACATTTGGTGATTTTCTCAACAGCAGATATAAGAAATGCTTGTAGGCTTACAAACTTTAACAACAAAAAGACATCATATTATCAGATTCATATCCAAAGTAATTTTGAACTAAGACTAACATTTACTAAACTCAACTTAAAAGATTTCTCAGATTTCATCCTATCCACATTAAGTTTTGTAAAGCTGACAAGTAATTTAAAACTTTGCTTCCTAGATCTTTACTGCAATAGCATGATCTGCATTAGCAGAAGTAACATGTCGTGAATTTACCATATTAACATGTATTGTTATTTTAAAGAGATGATTGTGTTGAGGAGTGAATTTACCATTTGTGTCAAAAAAAAAAAGTAACATGTCGTACTGGCTATTTGTATATTGATCACAATAGATGTGCATAGAAATAAATAAACATCATACCACATAATAAAAAAACTTAAAAAAGATCACGCAACAAGTACTAACGAGACAAATCACTCCATTGTATAATCCAGAAAAATACCCAATTCTCCCCAATTTAAAACATTAATCCAACTAGTAGATTAGCAAACAAACCCAAATAAGACGGAGAAGAAATCTTAAAAGCAAAAAAATTGCGGCAAAAATGGGTACTCAACAACTAAGACATGTCAAGAAACACAGTTAACGAAAAACAAGCCTCATTTCGTAAAGCAACAAGACAAAAGTAGCCGCATTCATAGAAAACAAGCTACAAAGACATACCCATCAATATAACCTATAATTTTCAAGAATCATAAAAAAAAATATATAAAGTTAAAAAAAATCACCTTTTCTCTTACTCTTTCCAGTAGCATTATAACCATTTCCAACACAATCTCGAATCCCACACTCGGCAAGCTCCTTCTCATCAATATTCTGATTCCCCAAACACTGACCATTATCAAAACCACAGTCCCCCCCGAAGCCCTGACCCCCGACCACATTCTCCGACTGCAGACAATACAGCTGCTCACTACTCTCCATATTACAAGGGTTCATCACATAAGTACCAGCCACATTTGTATTAGCCATACTCTGATAAATATCCCCAGCTTTATTCGGCTTCTGGTAAGGAAAAGACCCGATTTCCCCTTCTATCCTTCCCCTGATATCCACCAGCAAGCACTTAAGCCTCGCAATCTCAGCCTCTAACAGAGCCTGTCCCTGAAGCCTCTTCATCAACTGCTGGTTAATGGCTCGAAGTCTCACAACCTCATCTTCTAGAGAAGCAGCTCGTGCTTTTTTCTTCTCTCTGTACTTTCTTACAGCTTCACGATTGCCCAAAGGCCGTTTTTTGCCCTTTTTCTCGATGGACTCGGCTGTGTCATCACTGGGCGGGTTCTCGCTTGAAGATGGCATTATTTGTGTGTGTACGTGAATGCATGTGTGGGTATGGGACTTATCGGGCCCAGATGGGTTGCAGGCGTGGGCATGGGTGCAGGCCTGAGTCCGGCCCATTACATCGGTGTAGGCCTCTGTCCGGCCCAATGCATCGTTGCAGGATTGGGTTCGGCCCAAGAACTCGTCTATGTCAAATGAACAGCTGTTCTGCGTGTTTGTTAAGTCCAGGCAGGATAGCATTTGATCGCTCGGGAAATCGAGTTCGCTGTCGTCCATTTTTAGTCTGGTTAATTTTCTTGTTTTATTTTGGGTAGCAGAGCTAAAACTTGATCTTCAGGACTGAAAGGAAAAAAGAAGGTGAAAATTAGAATTAAAATCAACCTATCAATTAGGTGTAACATGGCGTCAGAAAGTAATGATGATTTGTAAAAAAACCCTACGGGCTACAACTTAATCAGAAGTAAATTGATTTTCAGTCGTGATGGAATAATAATGAAACCCTAGANAATTCAATCTATAAATCCACTCACGACAAACAGTATAAACCCCAGAAGACGAATAGGAGAAAAATGTAATTCGCAAATCGGAGGCGTAAATGCTGACTCAGTTGGCAAAATTCAAAATTGATAAACCCCAAATATAAATTTGAGCGATACATATACAAATTGGGGTTGGAAAAGGTAAGAGCAACTTACAGTACTGTGATTCATTTCGTGAAAAGGTAATTGCGAAAAACTGAATCTTGAGCCAGCAAAAGCGGTCGGCACAATGCGGAAATTGGGGTGGCAATGAATTGGGCGTAAGAAAACCTAGAAATTGCTGAAAAGACACATTTTGGCTATAAAATTCAATGGCGTAAAGAGACGGGGCGGAGCAGAGAGGCCATTAAATCAGATTTACTAAAGAGCACAAAATGGAAAAGAAAAGTAAACAAGAAACGGTCCCTTTATGCAAAATGGCCAAATACCTTTTTTTTTTTAATCTTTTACTACTATTTGACAAATGAAAAAATGGTATCTATATATATATAATTGCTAGCTAATCTCATTTAATAAAACATTTAATAAAAATATTTTCACTTTCTCTTTAAAAGGAGTTACATTTTTTTTAATTAATTACTCATTAATCTCACATTTAAGAAAGTTTCTTATAGTTAAATTTAATTAGTTAATGACTAAATTAAAAATATTTATTTTAATTAATTCTACATTTATGTTAAGTACAGTATTATCGTAATATCTTATCAGTTTTTCAAAAAAATAGTAACTTTTTTCAATAAATTTTATAAAAAATAGTTAAATGTGCTTATATTCATATAAATCAGAAAAAAAAAATCTTAGATATATAAAAAGAACATCGTTGAAATAACTTGAATTCACGAAAAAAAATTAAACATACATAAAAAAATTTCTGACTGTGATTAAATATAACAAAAGGGCCTTAATCGGCCTCTTAAAATCACGATGCGGGCGGTTCCAGTCCATTGGAAGCTAACCCTAATGGAAAGCTCATGATACGAGTTTTTTTCTTTTTTAAAAAAAAAAACTCAAAAAAATACATATATTTACAGATCTATTACAAATCTTTAAATTTTTTATTTATATAAAAAAGTAATATTATATTTACTTATTTATATTTAGATGGTATATTTTTATTAAGAAGCAAGGACAATCTCTATCAATCAATAAGAGTCAAGGACAAACAATATAAAAAAGTGTTTTCTATTCTATGACATGATCAATAAGAGTCAAAGACAGTCTCTGTCGCACGTCGGCTTACTACTGAAGAGCTCTGCATTTAGTCATGAGCAATTATACATGGCGCTCTGAGGGAGATTTTGACGATAGAAAAACCACGACGTTGTTTTATAAAGAAGTGTTTAAGAATATTTATATTTTTTTTAAATTTTTTTAATGATTTTTTTATGATTTTTACTATTGTTTATAATTTTTATTATTTTTTCATGTATCATATAGTTTTCCGTGCAATGCACGGGGAAAAAACTAGTATTATTAAAGTGCTAAGTTTTCAATTTTTAAATCACAATTTATTAGTACAAAATGTCTACAATATAAATATCATATTCAAATTACCTCAACCAAACGTTGTTAAATAATTAATTAAAATGAAATGACACATGTTTATCTGGTCATATGTATTTGATATAGTAAATAATTTTATTTATACAAAAGATTGTAATACAATCATGATCAACTATATACCTTGAACATTTTAACACCTTTATGCTAAGATTTCATAATATTTCAATCACATATTTATTATATATGTTTACCTATCACATCAATTTGTAAATATATTAACTCGCGTTTGGAGAGAAACCATTTAACGTAAATTAACAAGAAAAAATTCCCTATGTAACTGGGATAAAAGATGCTCTAAACTTAGGCTATCTATTACTATATAATACGGAGAAGAAATATTGTTTGAAAAACTTTGAAAAAATGATTTCATTTCCCGCTTCTATTTTACCATTTTCCCGCTTCTTAAATTTCGTTTTTCAGCAATTTTTTTCGAAAATTTTTGCATGTCCCGCTGTTGCAATTTTTGGTTGCAATAAAATCGGATAGTGTATATCTTTTGTTCCAATATAATAGGTTTGTTATAGATAACATGATATAAGAGATTCTAATTTCCTTCAAATATGGAACCACTTTTTCTTCATGAGAAAAAACGTGTATGCATATGCGTAAATTTGGCCATATACACTAAATTAGGAAAAACGTTTGAAAAAAAAAATATAAATCAATTACAAGTTTTAAAAGTTTGTTATGTCCATATTTATCTAACCTAAAAATATTTCTAATGTTTGTATTTATCCTATAAAAAATTGATTGATATTTATCCCAACTTATCCACATATAATGCCATAAACATCAACTATATATATATATAAAGAGGTTGTTGAAAAAATACATTAATAGAAAGTTTGACCAAATAAATATAAGGTTTGACTTACTATTAATGGAAAGCTCAAAAAACACATGTAAATCTTTAGAAACAAAAACTGAATCCTATTTTTTCGGTAACAAATTTGAAGATTTTTATGGCAAAATTTGAATCTCATTTTTTCGTATCATATTTTATCTTTTAACCAAAATTTAAATCATATCCTTTTTGGTGACAAATTTAGAGATTCTTAAGCAAAAAATGTGTCAATTATTTATGAAAACAATTCTAAATACAAATCAATTTAAAAACCGTGCAAATTGGATACAAATTTACAAAAAAAATAGTTATATAATGTCTAACCAATTCTTCCAATCTTATTAAATAATTTTTTCTTTCAAAAAAAGTGTGTAAATTGGTTAAAACCACGTGCAATTTTAATTTGATAAAACTGATATTTGGACGGGATGTACATTCAAAATTGTGCCCACATTTTTTGGTAACAAAAGCGGTTCATCTTTGATATCTAAAGTCACCTTATCCAATTATTTAGGAAAATTTGTGTGCAACTTTTCAAAATTTAAATGCATCGATTGGTTGTGACAAATAATTGGTTTATAGGTTTGATGCTCACTGAAGAACAAATCAAGAACCTGGCCCTTGCTGAGATTGAGAATTTATTGAGACGACGTGGGTCAAGTCTTCGTGAATACTAACTATGCCATTTCTGGATAGGGAGAACATCAATTCATGTTCGAATCGTCTAATTTTGGATGAATTGAGCTATGATCGAAAGGCCCTCGCTGTTGAAAACGATATGCTTCTTAAGAAAATGACAGCCGAACAGAGGAGTGTCTACTCAAGAATTATGTCCGCTGTTGATTCCGGCCAAGGAGGGCTATTTTTTGTATATGGTTATGGTGGAACTGGGAAGACGTACCTGTAGAGGACTTTATCTGCTGGTTTGAGATCCAGGCGACATAGTCTTATGTGTCGCATCCAGCATAATAGCATCGCTTTTGTTGCCAGGTGGACGAACAACGCATTCTCGATTTGCTATACCATTGAATCCCCACCAGGAATCTACTTGCAACATCAATCAGTCAAGCCCTCTAGCGGAATTGATAATCCGTGCTTCTCTAATAATATGGGATGAAGCACCAATGATGTACAAGAATTGTTTCAAAGCTGTACAGACATCGATACAGGGTATTATGGGAGCAATTGATCCTTTGAACTTGAACAAACCGTTTGGTAGGAAGCCGTTGTTTTTGGTGGAGATTTTAAATCCTTCCTATTATTCCAAAGGGTAGCCGTCAGGACATAGTCAATGCTTCCATTAATGCTTCTGACATATGGAGAAGTTGTACTGTGCTTAGGCTTACGAAAAACATGCGCCTTCAGGGACTTGCTAATTCGGATGAACGTGATGAGCTTGCACGATTTGCAGATTGGATAGCCAACATCGGAGATTGAACTATCGGAGGGTTGAATGATGGATGTGCACCTATAGACATACCCGAGGACATTTTGCTTCAGCCATCTGATGATCCTATTGCTCAGATCGTTGAAAGCACATATCCAATGTATAAAGAGGCACCCGACAATCCATAGGGCTATATTAGCGCCGATGTTGGATGTGGTCGAGTCTATCAATGAGTACATGACATCATTGAATTTGTTGGATGGTCGTATGTACTTGAGCTCTAACAGTACGTGCAAATCGGATTCTAATAATGATTTTTTGTCTGATCTCCATACGCCTGAGTTTTTGAATAGTATCAAGTGTTCCGAAATACCGAACCATGAGTTGTATTTGAAGATTAGAACTCCAGTCATGTTGTTGCGGAACATGGATCATTCTATGGGTTTGTGTAATGGGACACGATTGTTGTGACAAAGTTATCCACTCACGTTCTTGAGTGTAAGATACTCACAGGAGATCATGCTGGTGATAAGGTGTTGATTCCAAGAATGACCATAACTCCTTCTGATGTTGGAATTCCTTTCAAGTTCCAGCGGCGACAGTTTTCCATTATGGTTTCTTACGCCATGACTATAAACAAGAGCCAGAGACAATCCTTATCTCATGTCGGCTTATTTCTTAAGAAACCAGTGTTCAGTCATGGCCAATTATATGTTGCTATCTCCCGTGTCACTAACCGAAAAGGTTTAAAAATCTTAATTTGTGGCGAAGATGACGTGCCAAATAATCAAACCAATAATTTTGTATATAGGGAAGTGTTCAATAATATATGATCTTTTCAGTTTAATTATATGTTTATATGTTTATTCTTATGGTCATGATCATTGCATTATTACACAATTTATATACAAAATTGTCTTTTAAAAAGCATATATATAATAATATCCCTGTGCATCGCACGGGTGATTACTAGTTTTTGAATAATGCAACAAACAATTAAAATAAGTTTTGTTTCTTTTCTTCTTCCTCTTTTGTAAATTCAATATCTTAAACAATAATGAGTTCATTTTTAATTTTTAATTTGGTGTGATTATCCTTTACCATAATAAAATAAATAGTGCATATTTATCTTATGATTTTATGGCGATCGATATCTTCAAAATTTTATGGTTTGACAGAAAATATTTTCAAATAAAAAAAATAAATTTTAAATATAAAATTAATGTAATCAAAAGGTTAATTTAATACAAAATATTTTTTAATAAATAAAATAAAATATGTATTAATTTAATCTAACACAAATTTTTTAAATAATTAATCATTTATCTAGCAGAATTTATCTCATTAACAAACTTACCAAATTTTTAGAAATTAAAACTGTACGATTATTCTTATAGATATAGTTACAAAAACACTAATAAACATTTTAGAAATTTTCTATAACAAATATGATTTATCCCGCATTTTATTTTATTTGAAATTTAAAATTATATTTTAAATATATTAATAAACGTGTATTATTATTTTTTTCTTATGTGATATAATCTAAATTTTGTATTAGATTTTTAAATTCAAACATTTAACTAAAAATATCACAAATTTTTTTGGGTATATTTCATTTTATCTTAACTTCTATATAATCACATTCCTAACAAAATAATTAATATAACATTTTTTATCCACATTTATCTAACCATATTTTTTTAAATACAATTAATATCTATTGCTATATATTAGAGAGATGACTTACTTTAAATAATATTAAAATTCCCGCTTAAAATTTCCAAAGTTATTATTATTAGTATTTTTCTTTGAAAAATAACGGCTGAATGAAATTTGAATTCAAATTTTATAAAAAATATTGTTATTTGAGAAATATATCATGTAAACCTTAATTTCTAAAATATGAGCAACGATTTCTTTAAATGCTACGGTTAGATCTGACGATTAATGAGAATGAAACTTGAAAATCTTGCTTCCAAAAAATCTGATCTATTATTTCCTTCAATTTATTCAGTGAAACGTGTAAATTTGGTTACAAAAATCTGGTTAATCATTTACTGAATAAAACGTTTTAAATCTTTTGAAATAGTATCGAAAAGTCATGGCAACTTAATTGTTAAATATTTTTATATCCATATTTATTTATCTAAAAATCTCATATTTTATGGCCACAACTAAAATTCGTATTTATCTAATAAAGAATGTTAATTTCTAAAATTAATTTTTATATTTTGGATTGTTCAATTTAGTTGATGAGTTTTGTGTCCATATGTATCGAACTACAAAATATTTTAAAGTTTAGAAATAATCTTATAATATGTGGATTCTTGGTACTTATTATTTTTGTACACATCTATTTTTTCATCTCATATCCAAATTACAAATTTTAATATGAATCTTAATATTTCATATTTATTATAAATATATTTAAAAAGTATTACGATTCATATAATTAATTTTATCATATATCTGTGTTGGATATCATTGGTTTGGTTGGAGACACTCATTATATTCAAATAAACTATACATAATTTTTCATATTTTGTATTTCTTTCTTGCAATAATGAGATGTTAAATATATATATAATTATGTTTAAAATAAAATTTTTAAAAATATTTAAAGTAACAAGCCCGTCCGTGCATTGCACGGGATGCGCACTAGTTTTTCTTTTAAATGAACTAATCATTTGATTACTCATCTCGAATTGTTGAGCTTCCAACCTCCAAATGATTTGTTAAAAATTGACTTTTAAATATTTAGTACACCATCGAGAGTTCGATGACTTGGTTCAGAAACTTTTTTACTTACTGAGAATCTTAATTTTTTTTTTCTTATAGTGTAATACGTTGAAACAATTTAATATGTCAATCAATAGCGTAGATTGTGAATATATGTTTTCTTTTTTAACAAGAATGTATTCTATCGAATTGTCAACTAAGTGTGGACATGAGGTTTAGTATGACTTTTTACACAAAATATACGAAATCGCTTCTTTTACATTTTATTTAACAAAATTCAGAGCCATATGTGGCAAAATAGAATTATTGAATTTAAGGAACCCACAAAAAAGGAAAGAAAATATGAGGGGAATGCTATTTTTGTTATGCACAAGTGGAATTTACCACTAGTAATCTTATCAATATCATGACTCATGAGTATATGAAAATACATGATTGTAATGAAATATGTGAACGATTGCCTTAGAATTTGCCAAGTGAGTGCAATGTGATGGACATATGAAAAGAAATAAAGAAAAATCAGTATTTATTATATTCGGTTTTTATATTGAGTTCTTTATCCTTCCCACATTTATAACAATTAGTAATCAACACATTTGCGCAGATATGAATATTTTAAAAATATAAAAATATAAAAAAAAATAAAAGTAAATCATAATTTAATTTATGAAAAAAATATGAATTAAGAAAATAATTCTCAAAATTGATTTTGATCAAGTAATTGCTATGGAAGAGCCGTTTTTTTTTCAAACGTCAATTATATGAATAACTAAAACCTCAAACGAGTACAACCGAAGTGTCAAATGACACACTGGAACCAGAAGACTGGACCAACCATTTTCTTTATGCTAATACTCCCGGCCATTTTCATGAGTGGGTGTGACTTAAAATTTGAGTATAATTTTGTAATTCCCTTGATTAGTTTATGCTCATAATTTATGGCATTCAAGCAAGTTATTTTGTAACTTCAAAATGAAATTGAATGCTAAAAATTTTGGAGGGAGAATAAAATTTAATGCATGAGAATAAAATTTAATGCATGGTAATAAAATTAAATGCTTTGTTGCTCCTTTTTATATATACTAGTAATCAACCTGTGCATTTGCACAGAGAAGAATACTATAAAAAGATAACAATATAAAAAAAGTAAAAGTAAATCATAATTTAATTCATGAAAAAATATGAATTAAGAAAATAATTCTCAAAATTGATTTTGATAATGTAATTGCTATGTAAGAGCTGTTACAACCATTTTCTTTATGCTAATACATCCGACCATTTTCATGAGTGAGTGTGACTTAAAATGTGAGTATAATTTTGCAACTCACTTGATTGGTTTATGATCATAATTTATGGCATTCAAACAAGTTATTTTGTAACTTAAAAATGATATTGAATGTTGAAAATTTTGGAGGAATAATAAAATTTAATGCATGATAATATAATTAAATGCTATGTTGCTCCTCTTTATATATATATATATATAGATATAGATTTTGACATAAAAATTAATGCAAAATGATGCTCCCTCCTATCTTTAATAAGTGTCGTTAGTGAATATGAAAAGACGTAGTGTATTTATTGGCTAGATAAGAGTAATAATAGAAAAACATGTATAAAAGATCCAAAACGTTATTTATTTAGTTAATTGTTGATAAAGTGAAAATGATATTTCAAAAAAATAGAAAGTAGTATATAAGTTCAGTAATAATTAATTTTTAAGACAATATAATGCCTAAAACAACGTGATCTTGATGTCACGACTCATATTGTCATATTCAATTATTCATTATGTAAACTGTATCATTTAAATATAATATTTAGATTGTCCAAGCCATTCGAAAGCTTCAATTTCTACCATCTCCATATTAAATATCGCGTCTTCTTTGACTTTCACAGCCCAACATAAGCCCATTCAGTTCAATTGGCCTAACTACTACACTTATTTAAAAACAATAAAGCACATTTTTTCCTCAATTTATATTATCATCCATTGATTTCTGCATAAAACCTTTCAAATGCATGCTCATGCCAATTTAACCTGGGAAATTTCTCCCCAAATACATTAACACCAAAAGCCAATAAAAAAACAACAACACACACAGAAGCCACCTCATTATTGGGTGCTTTTTTCAACTTCCCTCCAAACTGTACAATTTAAAAAAAAAAAAAAAGCATAGTCCCTGCAAAAACTAATCTATACTGGAAGTTCTACTCCATCTTTTCTGCAAATAAGCTTCTACAGAAAGAGGGCTGTTTTGATCAATGCTACTGAACGAATTCGAGCTATCAAAATTGACGTCAAACAAAGCAAGGCTCAGATGGGATTCTGCACTCGAATCAGGATACACCTCATCATCATTATAATAATCATCCTCCTCGTTTTCTTCATCCTCGTAGTTTTTTTCACCTTTAAGTATAGTAAGGATCTTGTTGTGCAAAGAAAAAAGAAAAAACAAGGCAGTCTCAGTCCAATTTTGCTCGAGTATTTTAGTGAACTTGTTAAATTTTGGTCACTAATTTTGAGAATCTTACGCTTACTTGGGACATTTTGGGGCGAAGTCTCGAAGATTGAGCAAGACAAAATGCTGCAGCTTGAGCCATTCTTTGCATTTGAGTTTCATCGATATTTCCATCCAAATTCGGGTCTAATATGCTCTTAAAATCTCTGTTTTCTAGTTTAGGTTTAGCCTAAATA